GCGACAGACCGTGGAAATGGTCAAAAATCTCCCGGCGGTATGCTTGCGGGACGAATGCTCTCGGCTTGCCGGTTGAAACGTCGCAATGGATCCGAGTATCGGAATCCGGTAGTGGCAAACGTTCGAAGTATAACGNGTTTCAATGATGTAAGAGACAAACACAAAGGTAGAAAAAGGTGAGGTGAGTACTGTGGATATAGTCGAATATGGCATAGAGTGAGGTGATGGTAGTTAGAAGTGAGAAGTCAACTGCCAGTTAATAGAATTTTTTGCCGTATGAATACACGTTGCCCAGGGTGCACCACGTGGAGGTAAGTCTATCGGAAGGTCAGAAGAATGATGAAAAGGCGTTCTGCCCAGTTAACACTAGCTGAAGTCGCGATGATAGCGGACTTAAGTTGTCGGTGGAAGCGTTCGACTAGGCCCTTGCCTTCCGGATGGTAGGCGGTGGTGCGCATGTGTATCGAACCCAAAGTTGGTTTAACTCCCGAAACAACACTGAAGTGAATTGGGGTTCTCTGTCGGTAGTTATAGCGGCGGGAACTCCCAAGATGGATATCCATGAATCCACCAGTGCGTTCGCCACCGACGTAGCAGACGTGTCGTGTAAGGGTACTGCGATTGGCCAACGCGTGAAACGGTCGATGCAGGTTAGGATGTGGGTGTAAGAGTTCGAAGGGGGTAAAGGACCCAAAATATCGACGTGGATCTGGCGGAAAAGGGCTTCAGGGAGAGGAAAAACGGAGGGCGAGCTGTGGAAATGTTTTTGGACCTTGCTGGCCTGGCATGTGAGGCAATGTTTGGCCCAATGGCGGGCATACTGTTTTATATTCTTCCTGACGAAACGATCGGTGATCAGCTTCGTTTTGGAGCAAATGCTCGGATGCGACAAACCGTGGAAATGGTCAAAATCTTCTAGCGGTATGCTTGCAGGACAAATGGTCTCAATTGCCGGTTGAAACGTCGTAATGGATCCGAGTATCGGAGTCCGGTAGTGGCAAACATTCGACGCGTAGCGAAGGATTGTACACGATTTCCTTGAAATCAGGGTCCGAATTTTGTTCGGTGGCTAGGACTTGCAAGTCGAGGGAGGGCACCCCTATTTTTTTTAACTCTATTCGGGACATTACGTCTGCAACCACGTTACGGGCGCCGTCGATACGACGAATATCGTTTGTTAATTGCAGGACGAAATCCAAATGGCGGGTTTCCCTGGGGGAGTGATGGTCTGAGTTGGTCCGAAAAGTATAAATCAGAGGCTTGTGGTCGCTAAATATTGTAAACTGACGACAATCCAATATATGGCGGAAGTGCTTGGCTGCCAGGCAGATTGCGATTAGTTCCTTGCCTAATGTGCTATATCGGGTCTCAGAAGTGGTGAGCTTCCTGGAGAAGAAGGAGAGTGCCTGGGTTTCGTCCCTAACCACCTGTTGCAGGACTGCCCCGACTGCCATCTGTGAAGCGTCAGTCTTCAGGATTAGACGTGTCCCGTCGGAGATGTCGAGATGGTTTAGGGTAGTTGCCTTGGAAAGCAGCTGTTTCACTTTCGTGAATGCGGATTCAGCCTCTGGTGTCATCCGGAAGTGCTTTGGGTTGCCTTTTAGCAAATCCGTAAGAGGCTGGAGTACTTGGACACAAATGGGGACGAACCTGTCGTAATAAATCACGACGCCCAGGAAACGGCGGAGGCCCCGAACGGATTGCGGCATAGGGTACTCCAAGATGGCTTGGGTCTTCTCTGACAAGGTGGTGATCCCACGCGCGTCGATGTGGTGGCCTAGGAAGTCAATCTCGTCCAGGCCGAATTCGCACTTCTCGGGGTTAACCGTGATTCCGTAATCTTGCAGGCGGGCGAACACCTGTCGCAGATGACGGTTGTTCGCCTCCGGGTTGGAGCTGGCGAAATCTAACCCACGGAAGACTTGGTGCATGAATCGTTGAAAGGATTGGGCCGCATTGCGTAGGCCGAAAGGCATACGTAGGTATTCGAACAAACCAAATGGTGTGATTACGGCCGTCTTTTTCGATATCGTCTGGAGCCATCAGAATCTGGTGGCAGGCGCGAATCTGATCGAGCTTAGAGATAATGCCCTTGCCGTGCAATTGTAGCGAGAAATCGTGGATGTGAGGGATGGAGTAGCGATCGGGGTGGGTAGTTTTGTTTAGAACACGGTAGTCTCCGTTTTTTTTGCAACCATGTGTAAAGGCAAAGCCCATGGGCTGTTTGAAGGTCAGTCGACCAGAAACCTGATATTCAAATTCCTGTCAGTAGCGTAAAGCAGGCGACTACGAGAGTAGCCAGGGTCAGTCGTCGCCTTCACTGCCTGGCGTAGGATTTTCCCGAAGGGGTACGTGATTTTGTTCGGAAATATTTGCACCCGGCCAGGCATTTCCTAGCCCTGTCTCGGAAAGTGCGGTGATAGTAGCAGAGTTGTTCCTCACGTTCTGCAGGGCTACGAGCTCTTTTGGGGGACAGTGAGGGTCGTCGATCACGATGGGAGCAAACGGTCCACCTTGAGTGACGTTAGATTCTTTAACTGTTCTCTGATGGCGTCCAGTTTGCTGTCCGAAGTGGCGGACGTTGAAGAATCGATGGCGTAACCATGGATTTGTTGTAACAGCTGTGGACTAGATCGGCCACTTCAGATAATTTACCGAGGTCGTCCTGGTCTGATTGCGAAGCTACTGCTAAGGCACTGTGTGACGGAAGGTTGTTCCTCCAAAGTTTTTTAAGAAACTCATCTTCAAACCAGAAGAAGTTGAGATGGCGTACGATCTCCAAGTTCGATCTGGAACCAAAGTTGGTGAAGACGCGTTTCTTGCGATACAGCATAACGACTGATGAACGATAGGTGACTTTTCGAAATAAATAACGTTATCCACAAAGCCAACACTTTGTATAAACACTCTGGCTAACTTTAACTTTCTGCAAGAGATTGTGATATAAAGTACTCGAAAGTACTGGAAAGAGTGCTAAATACAGGTTATTCTAAAGGTGTGCAAGAAGTGGATGAGATTTGAAGCTAAAATGGTTTACCACCATCTCTGTAAGTTCCATGTCGAAACTTGATGACTGAATGCCACATCTTACTTGCAATTGACTGCAGTGGGTCTTAGAAATGGTCTCAGGGACAAAGGAAATGCCAACCTGAAACACAAACAAATTACGGCTTATTTTGTTGCTTTAATAAACACGCATAACAAATAAAAACTGATAATCCATGGTGCGCAATAGCAGTGGTTAGCGTAAACGAGACCGTGCTCAACAGGGAATATGAATGCAACTATCGGATTGATGAAAAGTGAGACGATTCGAAGTTGGTCTTACGAGAAAAGCCCCACCAGAGCAGTGAGCCAACAACACAACCAGGCACACACACATACGCACACACTTGACAGAACACTTGCCAGACATTTATGGTGATTGTTGGGAAATTTTACAGAGTGAGTGTTCAAGTTGATGCATTAAGGCCTATGCCCGTCCCACTTTCCTTAACGCACCCACTTCTTAGTTGGGTTCACCTCACCATGAAGACTAAACGCAGACAATGTGTGCACATATATTGGGTGGGCAGCATTGTCAGTGGTTAGTGTTCAACCAATAGGCTAACGAGTCTGTTCTGATTCTTCAATTTCGTGCAACGTATCCCACACCAGGCTTTAGGGAGGAAAGATACATCTTCCAGTCGATCACGAAATGATCTTTTCACCAACACAGTCTTGACGACAAAATTGTCTCTCTGAAGTTAATAGAAATGTTGCCGATTTAGGGTAATAATTCAGGTAAATTTACGCTTCCGAATGAAAACGATGGAATTTCTACAACAACAATCGAAAGCCGAGGATGTCTTGTGATGGCAAGTTCTTGAAGGTAGGCATTACTGCTGGCCAATGTCATATGTGAGAAAAGTGCGATTTCTTTATCAAAGGGGAAGTTCAACTTGATTTTTTCTTGAGTGCCGTTGATGCTTAAAGTATTAATTTCGAAACTTTTGTGGGTTTTTTAAACACAAAAAATAATCTGATTTAGCAAGTCAAGTAACTCAACTTACCATAATGAGTAAGGTTCATTCATAATTGATAATAACTGAATAGTAGAATTCGATAAATTTTGAATTAAAATTGGTTTAACAAGGTTTATTTAAAAAAGGCAAAAAGTACTGCCGTGTTCAGTCAACTACGTAAAATAGGCGAGGTGGACTGTTTGCACGTTTCTATACTACTCTGTTCAATCTCATCTTTAATCCAAGTTCTGTGGAGAATTTTTTCTGTCTCGTTTTGCAATGGAATCGCATGCCAAGGAACACAATGCGAGCAAAGAGGAGGGTTCTGATCCGCAAGTCGAAGATTCGTCGATTAAGGTAGAAGAGGTGCGTCTTGAATGTTCTCGATGTGAAATGACATTTTCCTGCAGTAGATTGCTTCGAAAACATTTCGTTTCAGAGCATAAATTGCCTGAACCGCATAGGTGTGATGAATGTGAAGCATTTTTTGCCTACATATGGTCCTTGAATAGACACATCCGGAACTTTCACTCAAAGCAACCAAATACTCGACGTGATCAGAGTTACGAAATGCATCCCGACAAACCTTCTTTGCAGTCACATAAGAGAATGTCGGATGACGAAGTGAAAAAGTACCGATGCCCAAGTTGTACGAAATCCTTTACCCGAAAGCAAAGTTTAAATGCTCACGTTGATGCAATCCATTTACAGAAGAGGCATATATGCGACATTTGTGGCAAATCTTTTGCCTACAAAGCAACTATGTTAACACATGTCAGTGAAATACACAAATATGGCAAAATATATCGATGTCCACAATGTGAAAGTTTCTTCACCCGAATGTTTGATCGGAATCGACATTTTCTAAACGTACATGAAGAAAAGAAGCAGTATGCCTGTACTCTTTGTTCTCGGCCATTTTCCAGAAAAGGTGCTTTACTTAGACATATGCGCATTATACATAAGAACTCAAACTCGCCTTAATATGTCAGAACACGATTTTTTAAATAAACAAATTCTTTTGAGTTATTTCAACTTCTTTTCTTGTGTGACCAGATTGGAAAAGATCACTCGTTCATTCACTTTGGTCTGGTGGTAAAAACCACCAGAGTTTGACCAGATTGTTTCAAATTAGCAAATACTGACCACTTCAGAGTCTACTCAGAGTCGAGACATTGACTACCATAACAGTTTTCTAGTGAATGTCACTTTCCTAAGGTGGAATCCAGTTATTCGTATTGCCCACCATTCAGCCCAGGAGATCAAAACGTGTCATTCGGCATTTTGCTGATTGAATGTCCTAAGAGATTCAAGTAGATTCCATTGACAGTTCCGAATGTTGCCATCTATTTCACCAACCTCCATTTGAACAATTCTTTGTAATGCTTAATTGTAGGGTTGTAACCAATGATAAAAACCACAATTTAGATTATTTCTTTCACATTTCAAATTATTATATATATATATATATATTATATATATATAGGTGTGTGTGTGTGTGTGTGTGTGTGTGTTCAAGGTCCAATTAACACGACAATTTGTGATATTTACTGAGTTTGAGTGTTCTCGATATAAGCTTTATAAAGAACTGCAAAAATAGTTCTGGAAACAATTTACAGAGGAGTCTGCCTCCTTGCCAAAAGTTCTAACTTACTGCTACTCATCCGCCTGTTTAATCAGTTTTATTTTACCCATCAATACTAATGAAACCATGATCTTATATCTTTCAAAGCTGCATAATCGATTGTTCTTAAGGGGGTATTCTGGTCTAGAGACATGAATTTTAGGTCATTTTTGAAGTGATGTAAAAAAGCAAGCAATATTTTTTTAAACAATTTTTTATTCATTATTTATTCACATTAGAAGCATACAAAAAAACAAAAAATTAAAAACAATTTAAAATTCCGTTGGTTATCAGCTGATGGAGTGGGGCGTCTCAAGAATATGGTGCTTAAATAACTCTCCTAGCAATCTGAAATCAAAAAATAAAAAAGATAATCAATCTAAAATTATGTCACTATGTCCGGAACTACGGAAAAGTTTTAGAAATATTATTTACAAAATGGCGACTGTCTAAAGAATAAAACCATTTTTGTACCACTTTTTCGAACATTCTTCGTTTTATTAAAAATAGTAAAAATGACAATTTGGGGTTGGCCGTAGTTCCGGACATAGACAAGTTCCTAAAGAAGACTCTCTTAAAATTTCAAGTAAATCGGTATGGCAGAATCTGAGAAAACGTGGGTATCTGATTCAAAAGAACAGTTTTGAAAAAAACGCGTTTAAAGTTTCAAGTAAAATCTTTTGCAGTCTAAGTCATAAAATTATATTTTTAACTTACATTTATTCAATCTGCCATTTCTGATGCATGCATCGGACCTTCCTCGACTTCCTCGGCGTCTCTGTTTTCTATTCGAGCAGTTCTGGACTCTTTTGATGCGCTGAATGTTCGTTTCTCGGAGCGGTCAATCCGGGCGTTGTCTCGTCTGATACCAAATGCATGCGCTTCTGGACCAATTTTCACTCCCATAATCCTCATCATCTTCAATGTCAGTATAAATCCTTCATTAAAATACACAGCAATAGAAAGTACACACAGCAATAGATGTTGCAATTTCAATGATCTGAGACCCGGAATGGATATGCTTTGGAGCGAAAGCCCATATCCGCGAGTTTAGAGACTCATTATTATTTTGAGTTTGTGAACCTAAACATCGAATCTATAACTCTTCTGATGATAAACTTCGAAGGATTTGTCAACGAATGGACTTGATGGAATGTAGCGTAGACTATTGCAACCCAAGTCCGCGTTGAGCCGTTCTTGAAAATATAATCTCGTTGTTGTATGTGGTACACGAAATGAACGAAGAAATCGCTGAAAAGACCGTGAAAAACTTCAAAACACAGTAGTCGTAATTATTATCTATAATTACTTCTTCACCATTTGTTTTCCTCAATTTTGCTGCTGATGCACTCGTAAAACTGGTGTTTTCCTGTTCCGTAACTCTATTACTGTGAAATATATATAGTTAAATATATATATATATATATATCGGAACAAAAAGGCTTACTAAGAAATATAGATTCAGGTAGTCGTAGAACCCATTATATCTTTTGTTCGATTAGTTGCAGCCCAACCAATTTGGATGTCTGCTCAGCAAAATACTTATATCTCCGAAAATAATTTGAATTTTGGAAAATCCTCTCGTTGACATACTTTTGAATAGTTAAACCATGTAAATATGCAAAAAATTCGAAATTTGTTTTTCTAGACCAGAATATCCCTTAAGAAATTTCTACAATCTATCGACAAACCAGTCGGCCAGTTGTTCTGTCGATCGATAAATTGGCAGATATGGTTTATCTGCATACACGCCAAAATAATCTTTTAGAAAAGAGGAAATTGGAGATGTCATTTAATCTAAATCAGTTAAATATAGATTTGCAATAGGTGGTACTATTAAATGTCAAGCTGAAATAATCATTCTGGGAAATAAAACGCATTTTGTATTAATTTGGCTTTATACATGCCCACCATCTGCACAAAATAATATTGCAGTTTGTCACAAGAACCCTTTTTATTTACATATTTATTTATTTGAAGACACTTCCAACTTGCTCTGTTCACTCATTGGCCAAGAAACAACCAATGAAGTAATGGCAATGCAACCAAATCGTCGAATAGGTGACCATGGAGATGTTGGTGTACAGTGTGTGTAGAAATCTATTTATACTTGGTTTACTGTGATTTCAATAATTTTCATCAGAAAAAGCCCCGACTTGAAAGCCTTGAAGTATGTTTAGTTCTTATAAATTGAATGCGCTTCCCAAAATAGTCCAACCAATTTAGACAGACGAGGTTTGCTATTGTTCTACAATGAAGCATTTTATGCTTTGCAGTGTATTCAGAAGGGAAGTCTCTGAGACAAAAGGAATGGCACCGACTGGATTGAGTGACGAATGATTATTGAAAATGAGAAAAATGAGTAAAGCCTTAACTCACTCAAAAATATCTACGGCAGATTCTCTTATAACTAGCTAGACTCCTAGAACTACAATAGCTACAGCTCCGCTATAGAGAAATCCAAAGTATCGTGTGGAACACGTTTATTTGGGAAGTATATTGTGGTAAGTGTCCACGCCGTAAGGTTAGACATGATCAACATTGCGGCTTCGCTTCTGATTGGCTATTTGTTGTGCGCCCATGCGATCATGTGTTAGACGAAGTCGTGTCGTACAAAAGGAGCCCCATTAAATGGAACCATAAATGTAAGAGCTTATGAGAACCTATTTCAAAGTATATTCGAATTATTACTCATGCTAATTGTAAAATACCATTTGAGGATATCTGAATTCAAAATTCTGCAATTATATC